CAGGTCCGCACACTAGCAGCAGCAGCAACATCGATCGTCTGACTTTGGTCACATCTCGCTGCTGAACCGGTTCGTCCGAGCCGCCGCTGGTGTGACCGAATGACTGGACGAGGATGCATTTTGGGCTCTCACCCCGGCGGCACTTGAAAAACAGAGCTCTACTTGCCCCCTCCTTGGACTCGCAGATCTCTCTTCCACGATCACCCTGGCTTGTCACACGAGCAATACCGGTGCGAAGCGAGTCGGGATGTCCGCTATGCATCTGCATGTGCAGAGACGCTTCTTCGCTTGACCCCCAACCGAGCCAGATCGCGGCAATCTGTTCCCACGCATTCTCTCGGTCGGCATAGAATGATCCGCAAACACTTCGCTTTTGATCTTCCGAGCCCTTCCTGGTGTGGTTCCCGATCGACCCTTCCGCCTCGTCGCCTCTCCCCGATGCCCTACACCACTCCAGCCGCTCTGACGCTCTGACGCTCCATGTTGATGGTTGAGATGGTGTTGCAGGTTGAACCCCGCGCGGCCTGCTGTTGCGCGACCAATGAGATTCGAGCGGCTCACAACGTGGGTACGAGATGTCCAACCTGCATGTAAACGTACCGGTACCCTCCATGATTGGTCGGCGATTTCGCAATTGCTTTCCCCCCAACGCCTTCAACAAACTCATGCTACCCGCTTCTCCCGATCCTCAGCCCGACATCCGCCAGCGGAATTCCAGGATCGACAATGCAAAGCTTTGTTTCAAATCTCTCCGAACGCATCAAACCCGGCAAGCCATGCAGATCACCACAGCTCAGCGAATGCAAATACTGATACATTGCAAGCAAAGCCTGTGTAGGGTGATCTAGGTGCCGGGACACTCGCTTGACCAGTGGCCCTTCTTGCCGCATCGGAAGCAGCCGTCGTCCTTGCCGCCTCTACCGCCGCTGCCGCCGCCTCGCGTCTTGGCACTCCCACGCCGCTTGGCTCCTCCCCTCTTGGGTGCTGAGCCACGCCCCGATGCGTTGGCTGTCGTGCGCTGTTCGGTGTTCGTACAGTCCGATGCCCAGTGTCCGCTCTGTCCACACCGATAACACGCTCCCGGCGCACCGCCTCCACCCCCACCACTGCCACCGGTGCCATTGGCCACTCGTGTACTGGCAGTGGAGGGCTCGTCATCGTCCCACTCGAAGAACTTGCAGCGCAGCTTGATGCTCTCGCGGCCACATGTCCAGAACGACCGGCCCTGGTTCGCGCCGCTCTTGCCGCTCGTACGCCGCACCGCCTGCAGGTCGCAATCGCACCGTCGCACCGATCCAGACGCAGACGAAGACACGGTCGAACGCATGTTACTGGACCACTCGTCCGTGTCCGCTGGCACAGGGCGTTTCGCAGGAACCGTCTTGGGTGCCGAGCCGTTGCTGAAGCCATTGCGTGTGTTGGATGTGTCGGCCCACTCGAAAAAGTCGCACTTGCCAGCATCGCCCATGGGCTTGGCGCACGCGCAGAAGCGCCGGCCCTGGTTGGCACCCGCCTTGTTCGTCGTGCGCTCCACCGCCGGATCGCCGCACAGGCACGAGGGCGTCCCACTGCCACCGCTGCCGGGACGCGCATCTTTGAAGCCCCCGTCATTGTCGGGCCCAGACCGGTCAAGTCGTGGCGCAGCTCGTGCGGCAGCAGCACCGCCGCGTCCGCCCCGAGTGCTTCCACCGCGAGTGCTTCCACCGCGACTCGCAGCACCACGTCCACGGCCAGCCCCTCGCGCCGCTCCCCGACCTTGCGCAGGCCCACCGCCATCATCGCTGTCACCATCACCGTCGCTGTCACTGATCAAGTTGATCGCAGCCAGATCGTCGTCTTCATCGCGCTCTCCGATCTCGACCGCGCGCGCCTCCTGCCCGGCATTCGGATCGGTGAGGTAAGACAGCACCGTCTCTGCGATGCAGCCAAACTGGCGGTTGGTGAGCGCAAACACCTCGCGGTACTCGTTGACGCTCTCTGCGATCGTCTCGGCCTTGGTGCGCTCGCCGGCACAGATGAGCGACATGCGGAACTCGGTCTCGCGCCGCAGCACGGGCTTGCACAGCGACTTTTCGAGGTTGAGCTGGTTGTATCCCTCGACGAGCCCGATCCCCAGCGTCGAGGGCACCAGGTAGCTCGTCTTGCCCTCTTTGACCGACATGACGTACTGGCGCTCGATCACCTTGGCAATGTGTTCGGCGATCGTCGCGTCGGTGCCGATGCCATTCTTGTCCATGAGACTCACCAGATCCGCCTCGGTGAGCAGCTTGGGTGCCGTCGTGGCGCCCTGCTTCATCTCGAGCCGCGTCGGCGTGAACGTCTCGCCGCGCACAAACGGAGGCAGCAGATTGCCGTCCCACTTGTCGTACGTGAACACCTCGAGGTAGTTGCGCTGCAGAATCACCAGACCAGACGCATGGAACTTCTCGCCCGCCACACTCACGTTGACCGTGGTCTGGGTGCCGATGGCGTCCGTCCAGCAACTGCCGAGGAAGCGCCGCGTGACATAGTCGTAGACACGCTTGTCGTCGCCCGTGAGATTGCTGGCGTGCGATGTGGGGTGGATGGGCGGATGCGCCTTGTCGTTGTTCCTGCCGTTGCGCGGGCGTTCAAATGCGCCGTCGAGCAGGCGCTGCGCAATGCCACCCCAGGCGCCGTCGGCGGTCTGTTTGGCGATGAGCGCGTTAAAGTCGAACTCCTTGTCGAACTGATCCGTCTCTGTGCGTGGATATGAGAGGAAGCCCTTTTGATACAGCGATTCGGCGATGTCCAGGATGCGTTTAGGCGTGAGGCGCAGCAGACGCGAGCCCGACTTTTGCAGCTCGACCGTGGTGAGCGGATAGGGCTTCCACTTTTTGGTCTGCTTGCTGTTGACATTGTCGACTGTCGCCAGTGGGCTGGCGCGACAGAGGTCGCGAAGGATCTCTACGGCGAGCTTGTCGAAGAGATGGCCGCGATCCCAGTTGAATACGACCTTGCGGATCTGATCAGGCGGATCGTCGGGCGCCGGATCGCCGCCGGACATGCTGCGGGTCTTGTGGAGCTGCAGCAGCCAGAAGGGCTCGGGCACGAACTCGATCACCTTGTTGTACCGATCGACGACGAATCCAAGCGTAGGGAACTGGCAGGGTCCGTAGCTGATCACCTGGCGCGCCTCGTTGAAGGCAGGGATGTGGTTTTGGAGTGCGAGGGTCTGCATGCGGGTGAAGGCGGCACCGATGCGCAGGTCGAGCTGGATGCGCGATTCGACGGCGTCGGCGGCGCGCCAATCGAGCTCGACGGTGTTTTGGCAGGCGGCGTGGATCTGCGAGTCGATGATGGCCGAGAAGCGCGCGCGCATGACGCGGATGTTGCGGCGCACCTTGCGTACCTCGGCGACGATCTCGCTGCCGATGTGCTCTCCCTCGCGATCGCAATCGGTCCAGATCATGAGCGCGTCGGCGTTGCGCGCCTCGTTGCGCAGATTCAGGCCGATGGACTTGGCATCATCGCTGACGTTGGTCAAGATGGGTGCCGTAAAGAGGTCGGCGGGCGAGCACGAGTACCAGGCCTTGTACTCGGGTCCAAAGTCTGCATTGGTGAGATGGCCGCGCACCGAGGTGACGGTCATGTCGACCATGCCCTGCACTCCGGGCATGCGGTACTGAAAGTCATAGTTGCGGCAGAACTTGTCCTTGCCGGGACGGTTGGACGGATGACCGCCTGCAAGGATTCCGGCGATGCTCTTGGCGATCGAGGGCTTCTCAGCCACACAGAGGATGCGCATGGTTTCGACAGGCGGTGCCGCAGCACAGCAGCTTGTGCTCCCGAACAACCGACTCCCGGCGTGCAAGCCCGAGACCGAATGATCTTGCAAGATCCTCAATCGAGCGCGTACGGGCCCAAAGAACCGGAATGCCAAGGGAGTGATCGAGAAGTAGCGGCGCCGGAGGACAAAGATGCCAGTAGATGCATGTCGTAATGGGTCCAGCTTGCCGGCCAGAGGCGTGCGTGTGATGGCGGCACGTATGGTAGTGTTGAAAGCGGGCGGCCTAGCCAAGCATCGAAAGCATGGCCATACTCGGAGTGTCTTTGTTGATATGAAGAGCGAGTGCTGAGCCGATGGAATGAGATGGTGGGGCACAGACAAGGACCAGCTTAGCTTTGCGGAAGGGCCTTGCGGAATGCACGGCGACTTTTTTTGAATTCAATTAACACGAAACCATCTTGGCTGAGTCGCGCTCTGCTGCTGCTGCTGCT